GTCTTCGGAGTCTTCGGGGAATCAGACTGACTTCGATGAATCTAACTTTGAGTGGACCCCCGTTCTAGAGCGACTAGGGGTTAGTTAGGAGTTTTAGGGGTTGGACCTGTTTTTGGTGAGGAGTCTTTTTGACAAAGGGTTAGTCTACCGGGCAGCTAGTCCCTTTTTGTTATTGGCGGTCGTTAGTTTCGGAAGTTTGCTGGTGTGCTAGCTTGTAATGGATATTGTATATATTGCGGGTGTAATATAGTGTTTGATGGTTTGGTGATTTGTCTCTCCCTATTACCCCATGATTATATCGTCAGGGATTTGTGTAATCGTTTCCGCTGCATTTGATTATGATGTTTTGGGTTGGGTCGGCGATGTTTCCTGGGACGTCGCACTTTTCGACCTAGCTTGGAGTGTCACGCGCTCGTCGGGGTTCGGGGCGTGACAAATACTGACTGCTTGATGCTCTTTGGCAAGGATGAGTAAGGAATGTGCATCCCTAAGAGCTTGGCGACTTCACTACTTTATAGGCGTAGCATACCTCGAAACACATGTGAAAAATAATTGTTAGAGTAATTAAATATTAAATTACGCCTTCAATTAACAAACTTAAGTTTTTAATATAGTTAGCAGTGATCTTAAATCTCACGTGATATCAAAGAACCTAAGTGCGAGGTGTCATTAAATATTATACCATGTCTTCATGTAACAATTTAAGTTTTTACAACAGTTGATAGTGGTCTCACCAAATCTCGCAATGACGAACCCCCTAATTGATTCCTCATAGGTTATTTCTATTAATTTCTTGTGCGCACACCTTCATCAATTTTAATATGGTGCTAGTTAAAACTCTTTTTTCGCCGATTGCACCAAACCCAAGATTTGCGCATTGTAAGAAGCTAGAATGCCATTTTTTGGGGGACTCGCAAGTGGTTTGTGAGCCAGGTTTAGTCAAAATTGGCATATCCATGATTCAGTGGTTGACGAGGCTTAATTTGAGTTGTGTCCTCTTCAGGCATAAACTCGGTCGCTCTCAATTTCTGGATTTATATAATAAGAGGTGATCACATAAATTGAGCTTCTAAGATTTGAGGTTCCATCAAGAAATAGAGGTGCGAAGGATTCTAAATAAGCTTTTTAGGCCTATTTTTAAGAGATAATACATTTTCGCGGTATATTTCAAATGTTTCCACCGCTTCTGCACCCACTTTATATCCTAAAAGACTCATATTTTGGTTTCTGGTGATCAAAAGATTTATAACATACAATGGGATTTGATTGAAACGCCAGAATTTCTGATCATTTTGTATATTGACGGGGCGGTACATATCATGAGCTTCCTATTGTATGTCACATATAATCAAAGGACGTCATCTGCGTTAGATCGGGGAATTCACAAGAAATCGATAATTTATTAAATAGGTTCCCTTTCATGATTTTGCAACTTCGGTTCGGATTGTAAGTGTTTTATGTTGGGAAAATTGTCATGAAAATTCTAACCCTATTGTACGGTAGTCAATTCAATATTAAACCTTTCAATTGTGCAATGTTGCGACCTAACCTTCCGCGGGTGCACCACCTATTATTAAGTCTAAGCCTAACTCGGGCTCTCCCAACCCTTACGAATTCATGACTTAAGGTTTAAGTTGTTAGCATGCAAATGATTTTCACTTCGTAGTCGCCACTAATATATTCACGGCGGGTCGATTAGGAACCCAAATAATGTATAGAGAGATATACTTTATTCCTACGAACCAGAGATTGTGAGTACGGGGACTTGGTTACGCTAGATTATTCTAACGCCCTTTTTGTACCTTTTCTTTTCGTGAAAAATGTTTGAGCAAGCAGTTTGGATCCATTTTATTACTTCCTAACATGTGGGATGTGGGGTGATCATGCGGGTGCGCAATCCATCAAAGTAACACCTAATAAAGAATACAGTAAATAAATTACTAGCTTAGGAGAACAACGTGCCTTTTAGCAACGTAAGCATCTACAATGTTAGCTAGAAAATCATACAAATAGCCCTAATATGATTTCTAAGTAACAAGCAATTCACTCAACGTATTTTTTTGGGTTTTCTCTTGATTAAATGAAAACTAACCTACGTGCCATGACGTGCATTGTATGACATGCAATTAACGGAACGTAGCATGCGAGCTATATGTCATGCGACGAAGTGACCTAATTCTAATGACGGGCAAATGATGTATTTTTTGGTGTTTTTCATTAAAATTCGGAATAATAAAAATGTCTAGATTAACATGCAATCTATTCTAGCAGGACACTCTGACTTACCCTAAAATGACACTCTTTTTCGTATTTTTTATTATGAAATTCGAAATTATAAAATACCCTAAATAATCTATTAGGACTAGAATAGTCCCTAATTTAAACTAGGAAATAAACTACCCTAAATCCTAATTTAAATTAAGAAGCAATCATATCTTCTAGATATATTTAGGATATCCTAAACATGCAATATTTCTAATTTAGATTCTAACTAATATTTTTGGATTTTCTTTTTAAAGGAAAATAAATCACACACGAGATAACAATTACACGCCGACCATCCAAGCAATCCGCAAGATATTTCTTATCATGTTTAAATTGGAAAATGGTTCGGGCTAGCAATCATATCCATAGGGTCATGGATATCGATGGAAAGCTGACCGTTTGAATTTGGAAAGCAAATAAGATTTATTATCATATCCAAGTGATTATGGATAATAATCTTCCGTACCACCGCGTATCGTACCTCAAGGTCAAGGTCAGATAGTCGTCCAGGTACGTTGCTAAATTAGAAAAACTTCATAATTTGGGGTATTTTCAAATATTACGGATATTACACACATTATCTCTATAATATCGAGCAATCCACAAAATCATGCAAAATATTCAAAATATCGAAAGATTAGAAGTTTAAATATTCTGGAAATATTGGGCCAAAAATCTTACCTAATTTTGCGGATAATTTCCAAATTTGAATCATCGGGGACCGGCGGCCACGACGACGGGTGTCGGGGTCCAAGTAGCTCACGGTGACTCGTGATGGTGGTACTTCTCGATGGACTCGGCCCACGGTGGTGGCTAGATGAACGCTGGTTGAGTCGATGGACGCTTCAAGGTCACGATCGTGAGATGCATGATTGGTGAAACGTGATTTGGCCTCTCCTCACGTTCAAATTTCCACTTTAATATCCTCTTTTTCACCACCTGGGACTCTTTCTTTGACTTTTCTTTGTTGGTTTTATCTTCAGACCTGCATTCCATTTAGCAATTAATGCGAAAGCATTGAACTTTACTGGAATTCTTCCAAACCTGGATCGCGGAGTGATGAATGATGCGTGACGATGGAGCGACGAATTCAAGATCGCGGCAAGGAACGCGGCACTTCGCTGGATAATCTGGGATCATGCTGAGCGGTGATTGAACTTTGCTGAAAGTTGCTCGCTGGCCTGGAATTACTGAAGATTCTGCTTTTGCTGCTAGGTAGGAGGCAAATAGCTAGACAAGCCAAGCCGATACGAAATCTAACGTGTATTTATAGTGTAACCTAGGTTTATCATGCTATTGCGGGCTTAATTTAAGCCCCTTTACCAATGTGATGAGCTCTAATAACCTAAAGTCAACTTGTGATTAAACTTTAATGGGCTGAATTATGATCAAATTAAGTTCAATTGAGCCTGTCATGCCTTGTAATTTTCGGCCCCCTTTTCTACTGCCTAGCCGAGTATCGCTCGATGTGCGAGTTAGGTACGCGCGACTATTGCTCGATGTGCGAGTTAGGTACGCACGACTAATTTGAACTTATTTGCCACTGCCAATCCAATACGAAATCTAATTAAACTATATGATTCTAAACTATATGCTATGCGATCTTGATATTTTTGTTAGGGGTTAAAATTTAATCCCTAATTTTCTATTCAAATTAATCATTAAACGGTTAGTCAAGATTTAGGTGTCAACATGCAATTTAGTCATAAACATTTTGACAACTTGCCAATTTAATTCTAGACCTTTCAGTTGTGCCAATTTTGTCTTCAACCTTTTGATGATTTTCCAAACTAGTCTTGAACATTTTAATGAATTGCCAATTTTTTCCTTTCGGTCAATTTTTGCTAGAATCGCTGTTGTGGCAGTCTAGCCAGCATTGGCCGTCCTACGTGGTGTGGCCGGCGCTAACATGGATAATTTTTTTAATTTTTTTTAATTTCTAAATTTCTTTATTTTTATCCTTTTCTTTTCTTTTTCTTTTCAAACTGTTAACTGCTTCAATAAAAATTAATAATCATATAAAATAGTTGCGCATGTTTATGAAAATGGTAAACAAAATTTAAAATTATAAGATTTTTTTTGTCAAAAATAAGAAAAAATGATAATTTAAACAAACCAAACTTACGTCGGTAACTAACTCAAATAAGAACTGATAACGCAAAACTTATCGGTCACTTAATTTGAATAAAAGTTAGTAATAGCTCCGATAGAAATCGTTGATTCTAAAGAGAGTTGCTAAATTTAATGGTTTGGTAATTCAGACAAATAAAAGCTGATAACTCTAGTAAAGTGAGAAAAACCTAATAAAAGTTAGAACAGTTGAATCCTATTAGAGCACCATCTTGTTGCGTAAATAAGAGAGAGAAAGAGAGTATGCAATGATTTGTTTAATTTGTCATTGAAGCATATGTTGTGGAATCGTGTATAAGGTGATGTGTGAATGTAAATGATCATGATGTGAATTCCTTGTTATTAAAATGAAACTGCGAAGCAGTAGCTCGCAATTATTAATTTTGTCATTGAAGTGTCGTCTCCCTTCTCATTGAAAGAAGGAGCTCAATATAATTCAAACTTTAGATGTAAAGTTCATATGGGGAAATGTTTGATCCTTTGCTTATCATTCAGGAGAAAGTGAATTAATCCAAGATTAAGGAGAAAAAGAAAGACGGATTAGTATTTACATATATGAGAAATCATATGGGACCGCGAATATTTTTGGATTACTTTTTGAAAAATGGATGAATTAACAGTAAATTTAAGAATGCATGATCTCTAATTGACTAAACGGGTGGACAACACGTGCAACTGTTATAGGATTGTAGTAGTTTACAGTATCAGATGTAGTCGACCAGTGCAACAAATAGTTCTTGTTTCCTATCCTTACACATAATCAGCATCAAATATTAGTTTCATCTCTCGCAACAGAGAAGTCAAGGTTCTTGAGCTCTCTATACTACTACACCAGTAAGGAGGACTGCAGATCCATCCATTATTAACATCGTTTTTTTCTAATGACACAGAGAAAGTGAAAATAATTAACACTCAATGTGTTTTGAACTGTAACCCAAAGGGGCTGATTTTCTCTTGGATGATACTATTGAGGCGATCCACCATGGAAGGAGTGAGATGGTTAACCCAATCACCCACCTCGCCTTTCCTAAAAAAGCTTCTCTTCTCAACCTTGACATTCTTAGCCGGTAATTGGCCGGATTTGTTGACCTCCAGGTCCTTGAGGGTCTTCAAGCTACACATTTTGGCTATCTCTTCAATCACACCTCCCTCCTCTTCCTCGTCAGTGAAGGGAAGCCCCACAAACTCGGCCACCTGCTTCAGCTGTTTTCCAACGTCTTCCTTCAAGTCTTCATACTTGAGGAACAACACCTTGTGTGGCCTCTCCAAGCTCTCTTTCCAGTACCCTGTGATATGATCCCAAAAGGGCCCGAACAAGATTTGCCCTTGGCAAAAGGTCTCGAAATGCTCATCCAAGGACCACTCTGGCTGGTTCTCAAGCCGCGCCTTCTCGAGTAAAAAGTGCCAAGAGGAAACCACGGTGTCCAATGGGTTTCGGCAGATGTAAATGATCCGGCAGTCCGACTGCTTGACGCTCTCCGGCAAGGATGGGTAAGGGATGTGCGTTGCGAAGAGCGTTGGCTCCGCAAGGCCGTCAAGGTTGGGCCACAGCTTAAGCTCGATGAAAGGAATGACTTCATGGGGGCTCGAAGTGAGCAAGGGTGTGTTGGAGATGTCGAAGCAGGAGCGGTTAATGATGGAGAACACTAGGGCCTTTAGCCAGGAGGTTCCTGATTTGGGATTAGAGACCAGGACAATGTCCTTGTCTTTGGCTTTGAAGTGCCGCTGGAACGCGATCACGTTGGGAAGCACGTCGATCGGGCACCAAAAGTTTTGGTAAAGGCGATGGACAGGACGAACCAAGTCTTTGCTTATGGGAAGTGAAGCAATTAGTTCATCAATGGCCTCCTGGTCCTGTTCTTCAGTACCTACGACGGCTGACTGCGAAGAAAGTTGCTTGTGTGCCATTGATGTTTGAGTAAGAATCGAAACAAGCAGATGAATGTCAAGCACTAATCTGTTTGTAGCTAGTTGAGTGTTCAGTTTTCCATTTTCTTTCGTCCCTGTTTTATACAGGCGAAGAATGGTAACAGACCTCAAATTATTCCCGGCTCAATTATTGCACGATGGTAGGTGAAACGTTTATGTCGGCTTAGGTGACGTCAATGAGGGCATCAAACACATGATTAACGTTGTAATGCACATTTCTAACGTTGTGTGCGCCACAGAACAGAAATTTGTTCTGTGCATGATAAATTTGAATAACCGATAGTGAATTTGAAATATTGTTTATATGTAAAAAATGATTAATAACTTATTGGTCCAGTCAATTGTCTGTAAGTTAACAAAGAAATAACAATTTTAACTTCAATATATACATTATTAGTATTGCGGAAACAATTGATCGAATAGCAAAATAAACAGAACAAGAAAATGATGCGAACACTAGATATTCGAGGTTCGGTTGGTGTAACTTACGTTCATGGGGAGAGTAGCAAAGAATTCCGTTATATATCAACCTATACAACGGACCACACTAAATTTATTTAAATACTATCAGTGTTTCCCAGCTCCTAATTATATCCAATAACTCCGATATTTCAAAAAAAGTAGTGGTGGTGCTGGGTAGTAATCTAATGGAAAACCCCTCTTACACGTGGTGCCAAAAGTTCCGGAATAGATTTGAAACCAAATCGAACGGTTTGTATTTTTTTTATTTACGGGATTTAAAAGTTGAGATAAAATTGAAAAATCCTTGCAAAGGTTGTGATTTATTTTGTCATTTGAACTCCCTTGAAATTACGTATATATCCCGAACATACTCTTGTACGTTTACATGAGAGCATGCTGCAAAATCTCTTTCACGTATCCATATATATATAGCTACTGAGTATTAGGTGTTCATCAGGAAATAGCGGCAAAAGGATCAGAATACGCTTTTTAGGCCTATTTTAAGAGGTGACGTGTACTGATATTGGTTAAAGGTTTTCTCCCCTTAGCTCTTATGCTTCAAGACACATGGTTGGTTTATGACAACTAAAGAGATTTGTGCTATGATAGGACTAGTCATGATTCTTGAATGCAGAATGTAGCTCATAGAAGCTTCAGACCTTTAATTGTTAGGAGCCAAAATTGTCCATCATCGGGATATTCAGCAATTAGGGATATGTTTATTTTGCGAAAAATGAATGATTTAGAGCATATTTAAAAATAAAAATAAAAAAGATTGCTTCTATTGCTTACAAAAATGAATGAATGAAAAATATTTTTTTTGCCCATGAAAATGTTTAGGCATAAATTCTTTTTTCATTGACTAATTATTTCAAGCGATATAAGCTATCATTTCTTATAAAATATTTTTCCAAATCTTTCATTCTATGCGAAACAATGATTTTTTCTGTTTTTTGGGTGCCTTCAGGTCACAAATCACCTAATACTGGACCTTCAAGGCTCTCATGCATCAGAATAACTCATCCTTTGTAACGTAGACGTTGGAGTAAACTGATCTTTTATGGTTCAGTCTAAGAGAGAAAGACACAGCATGCTTTCCTTGTATCTAGTCCTAATCTCATTTTGATACTTGTTATTCTTTTAGCAACAGAAAAATCGAGGTCCCTGTGTGCAATTGCTCATTGAATCTTTTCCGCACACTAGTATTTGTGGGGAGATCCAAGATAAAGAAAGATCGAGTTCAAATCATAAGAACAGTACTATTAATATTCTCAGTACCAAATACCAACTCAACTGGAAAATTAATATGCGAAGGAGGACTAGTACGTTTTGAACTCTAACCCAAACGGACTCTTCTTCTCTTCCATGATGCTATGTAGACGTGCTACCATGGGAGGACTGAGATTGTTAACCCAGTCACCTACCTCTCCTTTCCTAAAGTAGCTTCTGTTCTCAAAGTTCGGCATGAATTTGCCAGATTTGTTCACCTGCAGGTCCTTCAACTTCCTCAAGCTACACGTTTCATCTATTTCTTGAATCACACCTTCCTTCTTTTCCCCCCGGTAGAGAATGGAAGCCCCACAAACTCTACCACCTTCTTCACTTGTGCTACGACATCTTCCTTCAAGTCCTTGTACTTCAAAAACAACACCTTGTGTGGCTTCTCCAAGCTCTCTTTCCAATACCCCACGGTGTCATCCCAAAAGGGTCCAAACCCTGTTTTTCCTTTGCAAAAGGTTTCAAAATTCTCTTCCATTGAACTCTCCAGTTAATTCTCTGACCGCACCGAAGATTTGAAAAAGTGCCACGAAAAAACCACAATATCCAGTGGATTACGACAAATGTAAATATTTGGCAATTTGATCGCTTCATGGATTCAAGCAAGCATGGGTAAGGAAGGTGTGTAGACAAGATCCGTGGTTCCGGGAAGTCATTGAGATTGGGTTTGGTGTTATTTGCATACACGGTGAATTCCAAGAAAGGGACGAGTTCATGGGGGTTCGAAGTGAGCACGGGCGTGTTCGAGGTATTGAAGTGGCGGTGATTTACAATCGAGAACACCAGGGCTTTTAGCCAAGTGGTTCCTGTTTTGGGCAGAGAGGCTAGAACAATGTCACTGTCTTTGGCTTTGAAGTGCCTCTGGAATGTGATGACATTTGGAAGGACGATGATTTGGAACCAGAAGTTTTGGTAAAGGCACAGATAAGGAGCCAGGAACCCCTTCTCTTTGGGAAGTGAAGCAATTAGTTCATCTATTTCGTCCCGATGGTATTCCATGGTGGTAATATTGAGGTTGAGAGAGAAAGAATATAGAAATTTGAAACACCAACTGTTGGTCACTGAGTGTAGGCTATCGCTCTTCCCTCCTTTGAACATACAATTGTGTTTATGTCCTCTTTATCGTGATACACAGAACTATATAGAAGTTGTTGAAAACAGATGCGGAAAAACAAATACAGAACATAGAGATTTACGTGGTTCGATCACAAGGTGATCTACGTCCACGGGCGAGACAAGACAAGATTCCACTATAATCAAAGAGAGTACAGTTTTCAGAAGTTGAAACAACGACAAAAGCTCACGGCTCACAAAAACTCTCCGAAAACAAAATTCTCTCTGTACATCAATGAGAAAATCTAGCCGCGGTATAAATAGTGCTCCCCATCAATGAGAAAGCCTATCGGCCCAACCCTCCGCGTCGCGAACCAAATCTCAATTTTTTCTCCACTTTTGGGTCGCACAAAAATATGTCGGGTCGGGTGATAAACCGGACCAAGTACATAAAATTCAAGACATAATTAACAGAAGTATACAGAAATTAAAAAACCTTCTCCCATTTCCTGGGCGGTTCCAGTTCGAAAAAACGAGCGATGAGTCGAGTAGTTGATTGCTAGACTATTAGTCGAGTAGGTGATTGATTAGGTTGGATTTGAGTTGTCTTCCACTTCTTTTCTTACTGTTTTTTCCGGTTAGAAAGTGGCTTATCATTCATTTCCACGCAAAGATGAGTTGGTGTTTAATACATCAGAAATTAAGAAACTAACCACGTCACAAGGCATTCGACTTTCCAAATCTTTGTAACAGAATATTTCCTTATCGTGGGCTCCAAGCAGATCTTGAATCTGACAAACGCGGGCACGTTCCATGGTCGGTCCATACCAATGCTGTCCCTCTCATTTTCTAACTTACAGATCAACTTGGGACTTGATCAATGCGCCAGAGAGTTTCATGTAAGAGCACGCACTATTTGTTTGGATTTTGGCGGGCCTGGATTGGGCATACCCGGGGTTGGCCGGGCTTTTCGAGTAAAATTCGTATTTTGGAGCCCCCCAAATTGTTATTCGGGCCCATTTGCTTGGTTGGATTGGGTTGGGCAGGCTCGTCGTCGAGCCCATGATCGCGAAGCGTGTGTCGATCTGCATTGGCTCAACTCGATCGCAACTCTCCATCTCTCGCACTCTCTCAAAGCTATAAATACATCCTATGCCTCGCTCATTCGATCTGTAATATATGACTATTGATGTTGTCGAATTTGATATGTAGCTAGAACTTGGCAAGATGATAATCCGGATGAATCAGTTTGAATTGATGCAAACATCATGCATGATGACCACAAGGATTCGTCAAGTTTGATTTCGCTTTTTTGACACGTGAATATCTATTATTTAGGAAACTGAAATTGATCTACAGACACCCCTCTTCCCAATACACTGTGATTACATACTACCTTTCACATTATATTTGGTAAGAGGCATTAAAAGAGAGAAAAATAGTTCAAAAAACACAATTATATTTAGGTGGAGGGAAACGGACCCAAGGAAACGATTAGGAGGGATTTGTCCAATTAAATTTTTCTGATTCTCTTCAAATAGAGAGGGATTTGAAGGGATTTGTATATTAATAAATGAATTTATTGTTTTCTTTTTCATTTATACCCTATTTTATATTTAATTATTAATACGTAAAGAAGACTTTTTATGTCCTTATGCGCTCTTTTCCTTTCTTTCCCAATTGCTTGAATTTGGATATCATTATGATTCAATCCCTTCAGACACTTTCTCTTCTGTCCTTTTAGCTAATCCCTCCAACCAAGTTCAGTGTAAAAGTCATTTCGAATGCTTTCACTAAAAAATTTCAAAAATTAAAAGAACTTTCCATATCTCAAACACACACATAATTTGACAGCGTAAAGATGATTTGAACGGCATTATGGGAAAAAAAAAGATTTATCAGGAAGTAAATGAATTTGTCCCTCGTCTTTCCTTATCTTTTTTCTTCTTTTTTTTTTTTTATTGAGAACCGGAAGCGCAGCGTTTTAATTAGGGATGATTGGTTTCCGGTCCGGTCCGGTCCCACCCAAGAACCGGGACCGGGAGGACCGGTTCCCAAATTCTAGGACCGAGGATCGGACCGGCTAGTCTTGGGACCATGGACCGGACCGATCCAGATTATTGGTCCGGTCTAGTCTGGTCCGGTTTCAATGGAACCAATCACTTATTGGAATGAACTAAAAATCAATGTTCAATTCTGCAAGAAAAAGATAGAAAAAATGAGGGACCTGCATATGCTACTCAATGTTCACAGATGACATATCTATACTTTGA